ATGTATGAGTCAAGCGGAAAAGGTCAGATAAAGTGATGTCAGGAAAATGAACCCTTAGCTATGTATTTTAATGTTTTTTTCTTTCATGCATGTGTTTCTAACGCATTATAAGATTATCTCTTTGTTGCTTTGTATGTCCCTCCCCCACAGTATAACCCCTGCTTTCACTATATTTGATGTCAGTATAACTTGTGGAGGAGAGGGGGAAAAACAGTTGTTTAAGGATACAGGCGGACCTGATGCAGCAACGAGAAGTATAAGTTGTCATGTCCAAAACGAGCTTTACAACGTCGGTTGGGGGGGTGGGGGGAGGGGAAGGAGAAGGGTTGGGATTGGGGGGGAAGGGGGTGGCTGGGAAGGGATGTGAAGGGTAAACCAAAGGAGGAGGCTGCAATGCTTGGTAAGAAATGTACGCATTACCCCTCTGTACAGTATGTTCACAAATAAAATAAAATAAAATATAAAAAAAAGAATTTGGGGGCCTTAAAAGATAAATCGATATAGATAAAGATCTAAGTATAGAGATATATCTATAGAAAGATATATAGATCTCTCTCCATATATGTATATATATTTAGTTCTTTACCATTCTCTATGTTTCTAGAATTATGTTGCTACCGAAAGAGAAAATGACAATTAGCATCATTCCTTCCTCTTCATGTTTGGCTCTGCAATATTTTAGGTTTTATACTATGCAATGCACTCTGCCAACGATAGTGCATGAGGATTACCGCATTTTCTCGTGTGACAATGTGATGTTTGTCTGGTAGTTTTGAAGGTCATGAAACACACGATAAAGAAGCATTCTGTGTATTCTTAGATTCTTGCATTTTTATTTTAAAACAAATTTCACATAGATTAAGATCTACTATTAAACAACATGGTACATTAATTAAATGCCTTGTCATAACTATTTTAAGCTCTGTTAGAAAAATAAACATCTCACAACAATCTACAGTGTCAGCTCTTTAATAAATACATAAAACAGAAGTTAGTAGTCAATCAGTTATGTGAACAGGTTCATAGTATATTATGTGAAATTATCATATTCTCAATCTCCATTATCATTTAAGGCAATTTAACTTTATGTGTAGTCCAAAGCCAGAAATAATACAAAACATCTCCAGTAAGAATTTGTTTCCTCCTTATAGCTCTTGTATATTCAAATATTTTAATTTAAAAATACATTCTATATTAAAATTTTTTTACAAAGGCAGTACCTGTTAAATGAAACAAAATAAAGTTATGTCACTGATAATTTAAGAACATTTCTAATTATTTTTGCAGAGGTTGATAAAAACCTTAGCAAAGCAGCTGGCAAATGTAAAATAGTTTTAAAGATTTAAATATACACAAATGAATTTCTATATTAATATGTACAAATTTGCACTTTTCATAATTTAGAGTTAAAATATCTTGCACTCCATATTTTTAATAACATCTCTGTACCATCTTGTCTCCCAGTCACATTTGTCCGTGGGGCAATGCAAATTCAGTAAATGATCTTCAGGCAGGTCCTATTTCCACCCCGATGGTCACAGTGGTTTTGTTATTCTGTCCTGTTCGGCAATTTTAACTGAAATGAGTGAGAGAAGCTAGAAACCCAATCAAAAGAGTTAGCTTACAACAGTAAATTTTATTCAGAAAAGTATTTCAGGTAGATATAAGAGTAGTGTTGTTACTCTCAGTTATTTCATGAAAAGCTGCCCAGAGAGTTGAACAATTGTTTCACATAATTAAAATAACTTAAATATACAGTTTTACAATCATCATTACATGGGCTTGGCAGGAAATTTATCCGAGCTGAGGAACATCTCAAATGAACCGAAAGGATTAAGACAAGTAAGAAAAGCAAAGATCAAAGACAAGAGTTGTTTTCCACAAACTGAAGGTTGTATCATATTTTTCTCCTGTCATTGATATAAGACATACAAAATGCTGTAAAATCTATTGTGATGGTTTTCATGTAATATTTTTCCAGTTGATTAAAAAAGGGAGATGATTTTTACAAAAGAAAGGAATAGAAGGAATTTTGTTAAGAAAATTGTGAGAAAACCACCCATTCTTGTTAATTAAGATAGCTAGATAGCTTTGCTGAAATGACAAGTACTACTACAAAACATAAACAGAAGTTTGAAGCTTTCATAAGTTCTGGATACACAGGATTTTAGCCTATATTCATTTAGGCTCCAAATGGAGTTGCATGTGATTCAGTTACGCTGAAAATTAGCCTCATACATTATCATGAACGAATTCACAAACATTGATAAGAAAAAGAATATCCCTACATCCACGACTGATTAGTTAAAATTGAATTAGTGTAATACCACCCAAGCTATACCTAAGTTGCCAACAAGTTCAAGAGACATCACAGCTATAGAAATGTTACATTTAAAATGTGAGTGCCCTACAATTAATGAGACACATAGGGATATATATAACCAGCTGCACATAAGAAAGTTGCTATGGAGGAGTTATGAAAGAAAAGAAAAAGGAAATGATTTGAGAGAATACTAGTTATATATTCCTTTGAAGAAGTTTGAATGGCATGAAATGGAGCTCTTTAGCCAATATATGCACAATGATTGAGCTGTGTAATTGCATTTCATTTGCTGTTTTAATGAAAACGTATAGGTCTCAAATCCTTCAGAATGGAAAGCATTATGAAAACTTACAATTCTTAGCTTTTAATTGGTCTCTCAGATTCGAATGTATGTTAAAATCAACAAAGTCTTTGGAGAGGAAGGACATATTTATACCATTAAATGATGTTCATTTGTTTCACATTTGTTTCACAATGCGTGTTAGTAAGCTTGAAGCATTTGAGCAATTCCTTGGGCAAAGTAATCAAAGAAAACAAGAGTCAAGAAAGTAAGGAAAGGCCAGAAAAGTCTAATTGACTTTACCAGGTTAGCGGGAGCAATAAGATTCTATAATTTTCATAGCTTATCATAAGATATTTCAGTGTTTTATGGATGCCCATTTCTATTCACAAGAACTGTTTCCAAAGAGATTAAATAGATATTACAAATACCTGTGATTTTATTCTTTGGTGAAGTATTGCATCTGATGCATCCACTATCTTTGATTTTTTAAAAATTTAATCCCCAGATATACTTATGGTTAATTTTTTTAAACAAAAGTTAAATTGAACATTTGGGACAGATTTTCAGTGAATTCCTAAGCCTGCCAAAGAATGTAGAGGGCTTTATAAATAGTAGAAAATTCCAAACATATAGCAAATTTCTATAAACATTTTTGCACTGCAATATAAAGATGTCTCAGAGAAAGAAGTTGCTTACAGCTTTATGTGTGTGTGTGGGGGTGGTGTGTGTGTGTGTGTGTGTATATAATGTGGCACTTTTTAAATTGTTACCTACTTTAGAACCTAAAATATGCTTCTGAACCAAAAATGTTGTTCGAGTTCTTAATTTTTGCTAATAATTTAAGATTAGATTAGTCATGTTTAATATCAATAAATCTCAAAAGGCTCCTGTGTTCATAGTAGTTGAAAGTGAGCTCTATTTACATGTTATTAAATCTAAGGATACCCTGTATCACCTTTTAATTAATTCTAACTAGTCAAATAATAATTCTCTCCTCACAATGCACTACATAATTATTCAAGTAAAATATAATCTCTAAACTCATTAAGAATTAGCTCTTTAAGAAAGGTTAAAAGGAAGCATTAAGAAATCCCGAGTTTAACTACATATCATCACCTAGCTCTGAAATTACTTCCTGTGGTACCAGTATTGGTCCATTTTAAGTTAGTGCAAACAATAATGGTTTGGAAAATATAAACCTTTGATTTTTTTATGATTTCATTTTATTATGCTCTTTTGCTCATTACACAGGGAAGTAAGATTATTTTGTATAAACACTGTAATGTTCATTTTTAAATGATCAACATTTTATTTCTACTTTTTCCTCTTAGTGACTTGTCAAGTATCCATTTGTTTGTGTTTATCAAAGAATACTATAGGTGACAGAGGATAAAATGCAATTTTTATTTTATCTTCAGTGACCAAAGCTTTCATTACACTTTCTTCTTCTTTTTTTGCTTTTACTAGGGCTTAAATTCAAGTCCTTGCAACTTTGGAGATGCTTTTCTTTCTCATCACTGTTATGCTTCACTGCATGGATCAAACCTCCAGCCTGGACCTTTACTAGACAATTGGAGATAAAGTCACTTAGCCTTTATGCCCCAGGGGTTGGCTTCAAATTGAGGTCTTCCAGGTCTCAAGTCCCTGAGTAACTATGATTATAGCCATTCGTGCCTGATATATTAGCGACCAAAGTATTTTCTTACATAAGTGAATCACAGTACTAAACTAGGAAAACACCCCTAATCTTTTTCTCTTAGGGAAAGAAATGTAATTCAGTTTAACATCCTAATTGCTTTGCTGCAGTCTGGATCTGTTGCATCTAGAACAATTTATGTGTTTTTCAGTTCTCTTTAGAGGAGCATGGAAGTAAATCTTCATTATAATGCAAATATCTAGAATTTCACTGAGGTTCTGGAGGACAGCAAATATAGGAGGTTAGTTATTGGATCATATTTTTAAGTGAATTCTTTAGTTGGTATAACTAGGTGTAACTCTGAACTACACACAGGAGGGTTGGAAGTTAGAATTCATGGGTCTCTGTATCAGGGCTTCAAGATGAGCAGTGTACAACTCCAGGGAGCACTGGAGGCTAGCAGGGAGCCATGCGGGCTAGGATGATGTTATGCCATGCTGCAGTCTCTTATCAGGAGGGGATGGGCAGGGAAACCTGGAAACTCATTATGAACCATTCAGTTTAACTTAATGTGCTGTGAAATTTTCTCATTCTCATATACTTAAGACATCAGTAAATCATACTTACATATAGTTGCCAATTGAATGTTTAAAACTTCAGGAGGTAGCATGATCTTGTGCAAAGGACACTGGCCTTGTAATGAGAAGGCAGCTAATTTCTAATGTGGTCACTTTACTGCTTGGGTAGTTTTTTTGAGGTTTTTTTTTGAGAAATCATTTAAAATTTCTAAACTCAGTTCTATGGCTAACTGAAAGGAGGAATTAGCTTATTCTGAATCCCTTACCTTATCACCAACCTTCCTCCAATTTTGTACTTTTATGAACTCTGGTGAGTAGGGTTCAGTAGATTCAGGGCAAGAAGGTCTTTTGGTGTATGGAAGAGCAAAAAAGAATAGTTTTACATTTGAGAAATGTTGATATCTACTTGAAATCAAGACCTAAGAAACCTTATTTAAAATATGGTATTTGACTAGAAGCAGAATTTCTAAATATCTTGTGCATTTCAGTTTACCAATTTCAATTCACTGTTAGATCAAATGAAATGGTGAAATCATCCAGTTTACCAGGTAAGAAGATATGAAACTCCTCATCTTCAAACAACAAACCCCTTTAGATTTAGAAGATCCTTTACAGTGTCCCTTATTAACATTCAGCTTTTACAACTAGTATTCTAATAAAGTGACAATGTATTACAGGTTTTTATGGCAGTAGTAACTTAGCACTTATTAAATCCAGTCATCTGTGACATAAACATCCTGAAAGGAAGAAAAACAAAACATAAATGGCAAAAGAAGAGAAGGTTGGATTCAGCATCCATTTTCGAAAAGTGGCAAACATAAATACACATGCAACAAACTATACAGTTTCAAAAGCAAAACCCATTACAATTAAGATTCTGTCCACCTCTTGAAGGGGTGAAACTGTAACCATTTATTCATCTGACTGTTCTTGTCTAGCCTCTTCCAATTGTGGAAGCGTGCAGTCACTTCAGAATGGAACTGCCAGATTAGATACTTCTCACCTGCATGCTCGGTGCAGGGCTCACTGCATCCTTGCAAAGACACAGTGCTAATTTGCCTGTGAACATTGTGTCTCTCAAGGAAGCAGAAGAAGGGCAGGTATCTGTAAAGTGTAATCAGTGCTCTTCAGAATACCTACATTCTATGCTGCTCTAAATAAGTTATATATTACAGTAAAGTGCTACAATGACACTAGTCTTTAAACAGTAGTAAGACACATTTTTCTCTGAAAAATTCAGCAGCTAGGTGAGTCACATGACGATGATGATGCTTGCCAGCACTCAACCAGGAAGGGACACAATCTTGAACAACTTGTCTTCTCCTGTGACTATTTTTTAGTAGCAATTATTTTAAAAATCCAGTTTCCCATAGAATACTATTTTATCTTTGCTTAGAAGTTGCACCTGAAAGTCTCATGAGCATTTAGTTTGCTGATATCCAGTTTTATTTCTTCAGGTTTCTCACGTCGGTAGGTTACTGTTCTTGTGCAAACACTTTGTAGAAGCAATTTATCCTTGATGGAGAAGAAATAGTATTATTAATTAATTAGTAATTAAGGGCCTAAATATTGTAACTGGATCATAATATACTGACTGCCCCTTTTTTAAAAAAAATCACTAACCTTTTTTGAGGTGGATGCTCTGTAATCTGATGAAGACTTGATTTTATTACTATTCCATTGTAGTATCACCTGTCTAACAATAAGGACTTTAAGCAACCCAATCAAGAATGTAACTATGAATATGATGAAAAATATTCTCAAGTAACTTGGAGTAGATAAGCATTCTGCAAGAGAGCAAACAAATAAACAGGTTTAAAACACGTCAAGGGGATAAATCAAACATTTCTATCAAGTCCAGGCTGCTTACATCTCAATGAATAGACTCAGAGATATTCACAAATCTGCATTTCTGAAAAAAACAAGGGACTGAAATTACTGTTGATTCAAAATGGTCAACTTTAATTTTTATTGCATGTTTGTTATTAAGATGTTTTCAACAGAAAACCTTCCTTAGGAGAATAATCACAAATTATTGCATTATTTCTTTACTGCTTGATTCTGTAATTGTGTTAGATGGGATATGCCCAAGTCCTTTACCCAAAGGGGGAGTTTGTGTGTGTGTGTGTTGTTGTTGTTGTTGTTGGGCATTATGTCAAAAATGGCATTTTAAAAAGTTATTTCACGGTTCAGGGCTTTAGCATATGTTTCCTTTGTTATTCTTCTTCTTCATTTGCTGAATACCAGTAATGGAAACTACAGCAAATATCTATAGAAGCTAAATTCAGTACTCTTCTAATTGAAGCATAAATATTCCCTCTGAAAGCTCAGTGTAAGATTTCATTATTGTTACACATGGCTTCACCAGGAAATAGGAGTGTCCAATTTGGGAAAATACACAAAGCTCTTGCCTCACTTTTTTATTAATTGAATTTTTACTTGTCTGTTCACTGAATCTATTCTGCTTGCTTCCAAAATTTCATTACGTGTTTCTTTTCTGACCACAAATAAATACAAGAGAAAGCAATACCAATGCCATGGTGAGAATTGCAGCATGCTGAGACCTCTCTCTTTCAGCAACAGACCTTTGGCAAAACTCTCACTGGAAAATCTGCAGGCTCTGTTGTTGCCAGAGGTATTACCCTAATCTTAGAGGAACAAGGTTGCACAATACTGGGTATTTCACAGGAGTCATCAGTGGCTCCAGATTCATAAATGACTTCCTGGCCTAAAAAGGTATTGGTTCCTCTGCCCACTTCTGCAGACTTTGGGGACCTCATCTAAAAGTTGAAGTCATCCTTGACTCTAGAGAGCTTGAGAATAGCACATCATCCAAACCTGGGTGACTTAGGTCCCAATTTTGAGTGATAACCAGCTATGCTCTTGAGTAACGCAAAAGCCCAAATGACAAAGACAAATGATCCTCTCCATAAATGAAGACTGAATAGAGATGGATTTCTTTTAATTACTTCAAAGGGAACTTGAGAAGAAGGTCAAAGACAGACCCCAGGGTTACTCACTGGAGTGAAAACACCAGGTGTCTGGCGTAAGACTTTCATGTTTATAGATTGTATGGCAGTGGAATCTGAGCTGGAGTGTTTGAAGGGTGATGGCCTTTGAACTCCCACAGCCACCTTCAGGTTAATAGCCCTCTTGCCTTTTGTCCTGATGGACTGTCAGGTTCCTTGGCTGATTGAGGCCACTAGACAGCTAGTGCAGATCTGATCCCATTTCCTGGCTTTTTGCCTGGTAGATGCTTAGCCAGAGAGACTGAAGGAAGGCCCTTTAAGTGTGATTGAGTGGATAGATAATAAGAGGTGCCTAACCAATGCCCTTTCCCCCTCTTTGCACAAAAGTTGTCAATGTGAAGGGAGCCCGCTAGCTACTAAATACATTTCAGAGACATTTCTAGCAGATTAATACAGAGGACATTATTGTTCAGATTTCAGAGTTCAGAGTTCAGATTTGCATGAATTTTGAAATGCTATAGAGGGTCAAACATTTAGCTCTGGCCTATGCTTTTCTTATTTTAGAACAGACCAGGGCTTTTCTTAAGGAGCTTTAAGGAAATTCTGTTTGTAACAACACTTAAGGGAGTATAGTGTTTACTTCATGTAATAAATGATATGTTGACAGTAAAGGCCCTATTTGTTAGAAAGGCTAGTTGGCTTTCTACAGTGGTATTACAGTCCCAGCTGGCAGCATATGGGGCTGTTTCAGAACCAAATTCATTATGGGTTAAGATGAGGGTGGATACAAGGAAAAAGGAAACAAATCTCAAGACAAAGTTTATTCTGCTTTGACATCTCCCTAAGAGCTGGGATTTTTCTTCCAGTATGGAGGAGAGACTTGCAACAGTAAAAGTAGTTTCAATAAAGACAGTAGGAGAAATTTCAGTGACACCCTCATTTCAAGATTAATTTCTAATTCCTTCTATTTCTTACCTCTGTCCAAATAATAATTTCATGTATGTGTGTGTATGTTGGTAATGGGGTTTGAATTCAGAGCCTGGGGAATGTCCCTTAGCTTTTCAAAGCTAGCATTCTGCCACTTGAGCCATACCTCCACTTCTGGTGGTGGTTAATTAGAGGTAAGAGTCTCACAGACTTCTCTGCCTGGGCTGGCTTCAAACTTGAACCTCAGATCACAGCCTCCTGAGTAGCTGGGAGTACAGGCATTAGTCTCTGGTGCCCAATGAGTTCTAGTAAAATTTTGCTTCTGAATAGTCTTAGCTTCTTCTCAGCCTACCTTGTGGTTATTAAGTGTAGTATTACTTTTTTAAATTTAATTTTATTGTCAAGGTGGTGTACAGAGGGGTTACGTTAAATACATAAGATAATGAGTACATTTCTGGTCGAACTTGTGTAATATTTCTTATCAGCTTAAAAAAACTCTTCTGCCTTGTCTTTCCCCATGTATGTATAGGTATATATGCATAGGTTATTTTAGATACTTTTTTCATCTTCAGTGGTTCATTTAATATCATATTTTCAAGAATGGTATTACCATCACCAGGAGCTGTGATAGAGTCGTAGTCCTGATGGAAAAACAAACCAACAAACCAACCTCAGGGACAGTGGCCAGGCCCTGAGTTCATGTCCCAGTGTGTGTATGGTGGTCTTAGGGTTTGAACTTGACAGCTGGACACTATCCTTGAGTTTCTCTGGCTCCAGGCTAGTACTCTACCACTTGAGTCACAACTCTATTTCAGGCTTTTATTGGTGCTTAATTGGAGATAAGATTTTCATAGACTTTCTGCCTAGGCTGGCTTCAAAGCATGATCCTCAGATCTCAGCCACCTGAGTACTAGTGTGAGCCACTAACTTCCAGATTTTCCTTTAACTTTTTTTTCAATTTTTAATTTTTTTCCTCTGATCCTTTCTATTGCTTGGTTAAGTGATTTGAGGATGAGCTTGTGGTTTACCTGGTATCTGGTCTGCATAGAGCTGCTGCTCTGCAAGAGCACATGAGGTTTTACACTGGGCACGTAGCACTTGAGACAAATTGTGAGGGTGAAGGCATTGCAGACAGTTCCTGTGAGGGGAATTGAAAACAGTTATTGCTCTAACACGGTGGTAGAATACAGTGTTTTAAAGGACAAATAAAATAAAATAGTGAGGAGATATTTGAAATTTTAATGAGGCGCATCAGGAAAAAAGATAGCATTAGGATGTTGAAATACTGCTTTTCCAAATGATTTAAACAAATTATTATGTAGAATTTGAAAAAGTCTACTTGAGTTAATGATCTGATAAAAGTAAATAATAAATCAAATAGGAAAATGAAGTAACATTTAGCTTTGTAATCTTAGAGCAGGTCTTGAATTTCACAGGAAAATTAATTATTAATTATCTAAAACTATTAATTTTACCTTATTTAACATTATCTTCCATTTATGTACTGTTGATTTATACAGTGCTTCATAGCCATTTTATTATCATTAAAATATTAAAATTAAAATGCAACATCAATAGCTAACATTATTCTGTGATTACTATGCATCAAATATATTTTGTTATATATAAATTATTTAATTGTTTCACAGAACTCTTATAAGGTATTATGATTACCATTTTTCTTTCAAACTAAGGCCCACTTTGACAACTTGTAGTGTATCAAACAAGTACCTAGGAAGGGGTTCCTATTTTCAGAAATTATTTCTGAAAATAACCTATGGGAGTGAATATGCAGATTTATTCTGAATATTTTACAGCTACCTAGTGGGCCAAAGATAAGGATCTAAGTTTCTAGCTCTTAAATTTCCCTATTCCATTTTTTTTGAACCAGTTTTGGGGCTTGAACTCGGGGCCTGGGTTCTATCCCTGAGATCTTTTGCTAAAGGCTGGCACTCTACCACTGGAGCCACAACTCCACTTCTGTTATTTTTGGTACTTAACTGTAGGTAAGAGTCTTACTGACTTTTCTGCCCAGGCTGGCTTCGAATCAAGATCTTTTGATATCATCCTCCTGAGTAGCTAGGATTATAGGCAGGAGCCACTGGTACCTGGTTCTAATACTATTATTATTATTATTATCATTGTCATTATTATTTGCAACTACTGAGATTAAGGAAGATAGACTAATGAAGAGCCATCCTAAAGGACTGCATTGCCTGTGCTGGCATCAATCATACCAGTTGTCACTGCAGGCTGTGGGACAGGTAGGGCAGTGTTCACAGAAGCGCCCGATGCTCCTGGGATCCGTGCATTCACACTTGCCACACACACAGGTGCCTCTCCCACTGCACACCTGGCCCTGGGAGTTGACACACTGCTGGGCTGATGCTGATGGGCACTGGCACCGATCCCCTTCCCAGCCACCGAAGCACTGGCATCTTCCTGCTTCACACTCTCCATGTCCTGCAACGAGGTCACCCCAGGATTTAAGTTACCATCACCATTGACTTTGCCACAAGTCCCCAAACCAGATTCCTATCTCTCCGGCAACAGTCTCAGTTGAGTGAATAAAGACATCACTTTCTACAAGGTTAGACTAAACAATGCCAGGATTTAGGAGTATCTACATTTAAAGTTGTTTAAAGGTAGATAATGTCTCCATACTAATATATTGTGCCAACAAATATGGAGGGAGTACTTGGATGTTATTCAGCACTTGATTTTATATTAAAGAATAACACTATGAAGAAGTTGAAGTAACATGTTACTTGAAGTTTTAAATTGATGACTTTTGGGTGTATGAAGGTGTGGGTATGCTGGTATTAGGGCTTGAACCCAGGGCTTCAACATTCCGCTTTTGGCTTTTAGACTTAATGTTGGTGCTCTCTCAATTGAGCCACACCTCTACTCTTGGTTTATTGCTGATAATTGGAGATAGAGGTCTCACTGACTTTTCTGAATAGGCTGCCTTAGAATCACAATCCTCAGATCTCAGCCACCTGAGTAGTTAGGCTGACAGGAGGGAGTCATCAGTGCCCAGCTTACAATGAATGACTTCTATAGTCTATTCCATTCATCTTTCTATTGCTAATGGTAAGTTTAGGAGAGGATGGAACAAAGCCTCAGTGTTGGTCGTAGTATGTCCCATGAGAAGTTTAAAAATCCTTCCATATCCTCCGGATGTGACATGAGCTGTTCTTAGGTAGTAAATGAAAAAGAAGAAGATGACATGTGGGAGATAAGGATGGATGGGGGAAAGGATGGGGAAGGGCACTTATGTGAGCAAATTCCCTGTGGAAATGTTGGTTAGGCCTAATTAAATGAATTTTACACTGCAGAAAGTGACAAAAATTTCATATGCCAATATGAAATAAAAAATTTCCAAAAGAGGTACATTTTATAGGGTTACATAGTTTTTCCCAAGCTTATTTGACTACAGACAAAACAACTTTCTGTTTTCTTCTCTCCTTCCTGTCTTCTCTCCCTTCTTCGCTTCACCCTATCTCTCTCTTATTTCTGAGTATCACACAGATTAGCTATCTCATACACTGTGATGGATGGCTCAATTTGCTACATGTAAAGTCCAGGCTGAATGAGCGTCTGCCAAATTTTGCTCCCCTGGGCAGCCTGCATGCTAAATTCCAGCCAGCTGACTAGTGAACATGTTTTTTTTTTTTTTATTTCCAAAGGGGAGTAGTGGAGAACAAGCATATCATCTCTAAAATTTTCACTCATATACAACATTCTACAACATCTCAAAGTCGATTCTCAGTTGCCTATGGGTCAGTAGTATTGTAAGTATATAGGTAGGGTCAACACATTTAGATTTTCTATTTCCCTGTAAGGACTGAGATTCTCAGTTAATTTGAAACTTTGCTCACAGATTGATTGCTATGCAGAATGATCACAGATCTCTTCCCAGTACAATAATATTTCCTTTCCTCTTCAAATAAGTAGACAGGAACTGGAAATGTGGCTCAAGTGGTAAAATATGGATGTGAGCAAAACCAAAACAAAGCAGCAACAAGAACAAAAGACAACCAAGCCAGAGTGAGGCCTCAAGTTAAAACCCCATGAAAAGAAAACATAAGTAGATAATTTCTGGTTCATTCTAAAGTCAAATACCTAAATTCTAGTCACAGCTGAGTAAGTGCTTAGAATATAAGACGTTCTATCTATATAATAAAATGGAAAGACAATTTGTCATTGTAAATTTAGGTAATATAGACCAAGTTTAGCTTATACAAGAGTAGAAAATGTATTTTTACAGGTGTGTTATGACAGTGTTATGCTAATACTGAAATGCTTTTTTTTTTACTATAAGTAAAATGTATTATATTGTCCTGGAAATACCCAAGAAGGAATGCAAATAACAGGTATTTTATTGTTAAACAGAGTTTTGTTTTAATCTTCAAAAGTTGTCCAGAAAATCTGAACACTAGCCTGTAGGTGGCAGTAAGCTCAATTAAGCAAACAATAATAATAATAATCTTGTTTTTTTTCTTTTGTATGTCATTTGAAAACTTGATCCGTGTGAGGGTCAGGAAAACTGCTCTTCTAGATCACTAGATTCCTTACTATTTTCTTGAATTTTGTCCTTTGACAATTTTGTTATTGATGGTGGTCTAAAAATAAACTGGAGAGGTTTAAATGATGGCACACTCACAATATCATCTATAATGATGCATTTAGAATATTCTAGTGAATGGAAAGCATATTTGTGTAGCTCACTTCCTTTCATACTGACAGAAATAAAATTCTCTGAGCAAGCTAGAGGGAGGGACCACTGGACAGAATGAATCAGATGTATGCAGAAGAATACCCTCATTCTTTTAGAAAACATGACAACCCTCATCACTAGTTTCCTTTCCTGGTATAAAAATTTCCACAGTCAAGGCATCTATGAAGATCATGGCTTATTTTAGGTTTTGATATAGAATGATATTTGATGCACTCCAACTATAAAGTTATGCACTGTAGATCAGTTGCTGTGATTTCCCCGAAGAGCCTGTGAAACCCTGAGCCTTCCATTCAGATTGAGCGATGGCAATTTTTAAGATGGGACCTAATGACCCACGAGCACATAGGCAAGTGTAACAGTGACTAGTGAAAAACTGTGTATTGTACTCACCGGCGCAGAGACTGCCGTGGTGATATGGACAAGAAAAGTCGTCCTTCTCGCAGAACTCTCCATACACTTTGCCAAGTTTTATTTTGTGACATAGACACTTCCCACAGACACAGACTCCGCGGCCACTGCAAACGGGTTGGTCCTTGTGTGACTGGCAGCTCTCAGACGGAAGCCGGTGTTCACTCAAGTGACACTTACTCTCATCACAGTGCAAGCACTTGGGATCCTGGAAGGCCTCATCCACACACTGCCTCTCAGGCCTTCCGCTCTCCTCACACTGGCAGCGGCAGCTTCTGTGTATGTGAATTTTAGTGGTTTCATTGAAACCAATGGGTTTTAGAATTGCAAAGCTTTTTCCTCCTGTGACCTCACAGTTTTTCATTGTGACTGTTACATTGAAAAGAACCTGTATTTGGGAGGGAAAGGAAATATATTTACATTTTTCTATATTTCTATCACTTATATCTGTTTAAGAGAGGGATGGGGAGAGGACAGACAGACAGACAGAGGCAGGAAGAGAGAGAGAGAGAGAGAAAGAGAGTGAAGGGGGGAGGGAGGAGGGAGAGAGAGAATTGGGGCTTGAACTCAGGGCCTGGGCACTGTCACTGAGCTTTATTCTTTTTTTTTTTTTTTTTGGCTTAAGGCTGGCACTTTACCACTTGAGCCCACTTGCCCACTTGAGCCACAGCCTCACTTCTGGCTTTTGGGGGGTTTAATTGGTGATAAGAGTTTCATGTACTTTATTGGCCAGGCTGGTGTTAAATCTCCATTCTCAGATCTTAACATTCTGGGTGGCTAGAATTATAGGAATGAGCCAATCAACACCTGATATTGTTTAATATTTGAATCAATTATATACCATCTTGGAGATGAAATTTTCTTATGGAGATGAAATTTCTTCTTTTTTTCATGTAATTTATTTCCTAATTAGTAAATTTGAGAATTAAAAGACTAATGATTGCAAGTTAATGCTAACCCAGCATTAAATAGACCTGATGTACCTGTTTATACCATTTTTGGTGGCTACTGTATTACAGAAATTGGGAAAGAACATACTACTTTCTGGATTCATCCTTAAATGTGAGCTTATTGAGTATTTGGCACTAGGGACAGATAAACCAAAGTAATAGGCATCTGATCTATTGGTTTAATATCTGGAGGTGTTCAAAATGAGTTTTCTTTTATTTTCCTTCTATTTTCCAGGCATCTGAGTAGATTTCACAGTCAAATTCAAATTTTAATTGATAAAAGCCAAAAATGTAACAAATCAGAGGCTTTATGTGATATTACTCAAGAGAAAGAGGCTTAGATCTCCATTTCTTAGTTTATTTTTGTTTTTGTTTTTGTTTTGGTCCGGTCGTGGGGCCTGAACTCTGGACCTGGGCGCTGTCTCTCAGCTCTTCAGCTCAAGGCTAGCGCTCTACCACTTGAGCCACAGCACCACTTTCGGCTTTTTTCTTTTTGCTTATGTGGGCTGAGGAATCAAACCCAGGGCCTCAGGCATGCAAGACAAGCGCTCTACCACTGAGCCACCTTCCCAGTCCCTCTTAGTTTTTTTTTTTAATAATTTTTATTTTTATTGTAAAGATGCTGAACAGAGGGGCTGCCGTTACATGAGTAAGGTAATGAGCACATTTCTTGTTGACCATTGTTACCCTTTCCTTTGTTTTCTCTTATAATCCTTTCCCTCCCTGACCTCAACAAACAGACATTAAGATGTTTCAGTTGGAGAAAGTCAGTCAGAAATAAAGGCCTGCTAGGCTATCAAGACTTGTTTTTTTGACGACAATATGGAGGTTTTTTCTCCTTTCGATATTTCCTTTTTTAACTTTTTTAATTTCGCATAAAATGATTGATTTAATATGTCTGTTTATTGACTCACTTTACTCTCTTTGTGTGTTTTGGCAAACAAGGCAGATATAACTTTGTTCACACTGAGCCAAATTTCATGGCAATTTTAAACTCCTGATAGCTAGGCATTTTGTTTAGAATTATATTGTACTAAATCATATTACACATGATTTAAATTATTTACACCTAAACTTTCATATGTATTAGGAAATTGAATGATTTTATATAAAAATACAATTGGTGTTGAGGTTGAATTAGAAAAATAAAAATGTTTTTCATTTTAAGAAGGTTTAAGTGCAGGATAATAAGATCATTGCTACTAGAACAAAAGTTGGGGCCTACACATTTAGGGGTCAGATGTCTGAAAGAAAGAAAAACATATGAAAAGTAAAGGAAACCTAAGAAAGATTTTTTTTAAAGAAATTACTTAATTTTTTGTGTGCTAGAATTATTTTGCAATTTTGTGGAAATTCAGCATACCTTTTATAAACTGGTATAATCTGCCTTTTGAACAAAATCTAAGGAGAACCTATGGGCAAAATCACACTGCCTACATATTCTAAAATTCCCAAGAGGGGAAAATACATTCTAACTAAATAGAAAGGAAAATTCTCTTTTATTCAATGTTAGAATCTTCGCACATTCTATTTCAATCTCTGTTCTTTTTTTCTTACCAGCACGGCATTAAAATAATTACTAACATATGGAACCTTGGAGTGGAATAGGGACTAGAAATCTAGCTAAGCCATTCACTTAAAAATCAGGTAACTGAGTCAGACTCTGATGGCTCCGGTCTATAAATCCTAGCCATTCAGGAGTCTGAGAGCTGAGAATTACAGTTTAAAGTCAGAACAGGCAGGAAAATCTTGAGACTCTTATCAAAAATTAATCAGCCAAAAGCTGCCAGTGAAGGTGTGATGTAAGTGGTAAGGTCCCAGCTTTGAACACAAATAGTTAAGGAAGAGCTTGAGGCCCTGAGATTAAGCCCCAGTATTGGTATGCATGCATTCACACATATATATGTGTGTATGTGCGCACACGTGTGTGTGCACACACATGCTCACGTGCACGCATGCATGCGCACACGCGCGCGCGCGCACACACACACACACACACACACACACACCAGGTAATTGGGAGCTCAACAGGTTAGCAACTCTCTGAGAATAGCTTCACCTACAAGACCTACAAGGACTCTTGGTAAAAGCCAGCTCTATGTGCTACCCTGCATTGGACCAGTTTTGGGGAATCCCTGTTGCCCTGGGCTGTTCCAGATGCTGCTCTAATCCAGGCCTCTCTTCTCTAGATCTCATCCCTTTCTAGCTAAATGATGTTACTTTTCCTTTTTGATTGCTCTAAGCAAATTTCCTACCTCCTTATGAGTGCAGCAAGGCCATCCCAAAGCAGAAGATTTTGGGTGCTTAGCCTTTCTCAACTGTTCTGTAGCTTATCATTTCACAGTTGCTCTGAGAATTAGTAGACTGGAACTGGATAGACTTATCATCATAATTATGGACACCAATTGCCTGAAGAGATGTGATTATTGCATCTCTGCAAGTTGTTCCACCTAAGTTTTAAGTTAAAACTCAAACATTTAGTAAAACACATATTTATTTTTAACTTAAAAGTTTGAAGAGACCAGTCAATTGAGTTAAAACACAAAGAAACTTTGGGGAGAGGCAATGCAAGTCACTTTGAAATATAAATAAGGTTCTTGCCATCCATAGTAAGAAAGCTTTTCAGAATGGTTGATTTTTTTTTTCCTGGAAGAAAGCATTCATTCTAGACAACTTAATTTATTTTAAATGAGAAAAACACACAGCCACATACTTCATCATTGCTGGTCACATTTCCACAGCCAACAGCTCCTGGCTTTCTGGCTCCATCTGGACAGATGGCAGTCACGTTGAAAAGAACGCCATGTACCTGGTTTTCCACCTGAACTTTTACCTCTGAGATGAGTTTCTGCCGAGACAACGTTTTTCAATTACAGATCCAAGTAGTTTCAAATGTAAGCCACAAAGTAGAGTCAAGCTTATTAAACCACTTCAGGTTTATTTTTTAACTAAATCAAAGTCTGTCTCTACAAAGGGATAAATAAAAACAGCATTTTCACACAACCACCCGATTATATTTGAAAATGTAAGAATTACTAAATTGTTAGATTATCTCCATTTAAATGGTTTTATTTTGTTCCATGCATACTGTATACTATGACTGTATTTGACTGTTTCAAAAATAATTCTCACCTAGCCTGTTTTATAAAAATATTCCTTTAAAACCCACTGCTATGTATATGTTATGATAATATCCAAATAAAACATTGGGGACATACATGATCACAAAGAGTACATTTTGACAGCTAAGAGATAAGATACTGCAATCCTAGCTATTTGGGAAGCCTAGATGAAGAGGATCATAGTTCTAGGCCAGTCTGACAATTAAGTTCCTATGACTCCATCTCAATAGATGAAACCAAATATGGTGAATGGCACCTGTTAATCCAGTAAGCTGTGGTGGGAGTAATTGGTCCAGGATGGCTTAGGGAAAAAAGCAAACATCTCAGAAATAATCATAGATGAAGAGAAAATATGACTGATGTGGTAGAGGATTCCTCTGCACACAAAAACCTCAAGTTCAAGGTTTGTGTTCAAGGTTTGAGGTATGGTACTCATGTATGGTACTACCATATATAAAAGGAACATACTTCTAACACACAGTTACTAAAGTAACATTTTAACTTCAAACACTGACTAAGGCAGAGTGCTTATGGATTTACAGTTGAAAGCTCCATTTTTGAGAAGTCACATCTACACTGTCAGCACAAGAATTACCTGACAGACATTGATTCATAAGATTTTCCAAGAATGGCCTACATCCCTACTGATTGCTTCTATCAATCATGTATTCTAAGCTTTAATTCCAAAATAAGGCCTCCTACTATGATGAAACCAATCACACAATTACTCACTCAGCAAACATCTATTTAATGTCTATCATGTATCAGGCACATGCTCATTTTTTCCAACACAATCTCTGAGTTCCAATGGATCTAGTTACTTAAATAAATTCTTCCATGCATATTTTGTCCCCCAAATCGTTAACTTGTAAACAGGAAAAAAGGGAGTAGGGGTGGGATTTAAAATCCATGGAAGCAACCCATGGAGACATTTGGCATGTGACAAAACAGACATGTATGGTTCTCATCAGCTGCCTGTGGCCATCTGCCTATACTGATAATTTTGTTTAGCTCTGGAATAATGTTCTAAGTATCCAAATGGCTCTTGACAGAGCAAAGATTCCCCAACCCAGAAGGAAAAAGTATGTGGCAATGTCAGAAGCAAAGTTTCCAGCAGCTTTTAATTTTTTACTTAGGTGATTTTACTGCTTTTAACAGCAATCATAAGAGATGTACTTACTGATTAATAATCAATCATGAAATTCTGAGGGTATATCCTTAGAACCAAATATTCATATGCATTAGGCAATACTGTCCCAATCATATGTTCATTTATCACCTAATAATTGAATCATTTTGATAAACTAATAAAAACAGATGTTGATATGAAATAATTCCTCTGAGGAGAAAGAAATATTTTAATGAATATTCTCAGCTTGTCCTTCTGAAATCCTGCTTCTGTTAAGATGGAAGCCAGTTAGGCCAATGTTTATAAGCCGTGTATAAAGAAATATCTCTTAAGTTTTTCAGTTTGGGGATTTAGAAATGAAACTTTGCATATGAAGTTTAGCTTAAAAGTATTTAGACAGACTAAATTTTTCCTGATGTGTAATTCTCCAATGAATATTGAATTGTTTCAGTTGAACTGTGAAGACAAAATGAAATTTCGAAACTATGAACCCACAAAAATAAAAGAAACTCATATTGAGGAGACGGAGTTTTGTTGAATTTACTAATATTTGCTGTAAGGCTAATCAGTGGGCTAACACACCCCATACCTGTCCTTTACACATATAAGCAATTCTGTTCTCTGTTTTCCATTGGTACATATTGTCTTCTGCAGAGAACACAAATGTCCAGAGACTCAAATCTAACCAGGTTTATATTGAAGACGATTAGAGAAGAGAGCTGGAGCTTTTCTAAATGCTTTGGCTACTCTTTTACTCTATTAAATTCTGCATGTGGGAAAGGGAGACTTTACTATAACTGGCCCCATCAATCAAGAAAGAATAAGGCATATTTTTCAAAACCATGCTAAAAAGTAAGAAAAGCAAAACAAACAAGTGATATCACACAGCAGGAGCACTTGGGCATGGAATGAACACCTTCTCTTACTTGTGACTTGTGTGACCATTGGGTAATTGGCTGCACTTTTGTGTTCCTACAAATACGGAGTAGTAGCACCTGCCTTATAGGTCATCTGTGAGGTTAAATGAAGGTATGTATAGAAAGTAACTAGCTTTAGCATGAAAGAATAGTCACATTGTAATAGCATTTATCATAGCCAGGCATGCCCCAGTTCTGAGAGCATATTATCTCCTTCTATTCTTTTCTCTGTCAGCCACTCTTCAAAGGACTCATGATAACAACATATGGCCATCTATTCAATAAAATACTGAATCTACTAAGGTGATTCTTTCAGTCAAAGAGTTTTGATGAAATTGCTAGGACAATCACATGATGGAACACAGTGTCCTTCACAGTCTTGTCAGTAATTATATCCCAAGGCAATGCATTTTTCCCTGACATATTTCAACTTTTTAAAAACTGTGCATATCTTATTTTATGACATAGGAAACTCTGCTTTGTGGTACTAAAGAGCTTCCTGCAGTCATGATTTGGTGACTCATTGAGCATTAGATTTGGAAGGCCAAGTGGACAACTTTTGATCTGAACAATTCACGGTCAGTGGCAAAAGCCAGGTACAGAGAGAGCTGAAATGACTCTCCCAAACACTTTACTAGATCATGGCAAAGGCAGGGCTGAGGGCTTAGGTCCAAGTTTTGAGTCTTATGTTCTTTCTACTACTCCTCCCAAAATAATACACCACCACTAGTTTGTATTTCCTCCAGAAGTGGGGGGTAAGAGATTATTTGGAGAAAAAAAAACCACATATGATATATACATACCTTGTAGGCTTCGACTACCAAATTATTGAGATTTGCAGCCTTTGACTCTATTTCACCAGCAATGGTGCCAGGTAAAAGGGGTAGAAGATCCTAGAATACATATAAGTAATATTTTCACAATGATAACAGTAGGCAAAGGTCCAGTAATCAGCAAAGATTCAACATGTGGCAGGTAGTTATCATGGAAAGTGAGTCATTATATAAATGAAAAACATGATGGGAAAATACAAGTAACCTAACAGGGTGGCCAACTGGTATACCTGGGATGTAGTGGTGTGTGGCTGCATCAGTGTATGTGTGAATGTGTGTGCATGATGATCTACAAATGTGATAGACATCACTGGTCCCCCAAAGCCTTTACAAGTTTTTTAAAAGGCTTCAGAAGGCAAAAAATGGTAAAGTTTGGCAAATTTTCCTTCCACATAGAGGCTCACAATGTGTATTTTCCAATTAAAATGTTCAAGATAGGCCAGCGATTTGGAAATTTCCCCAGCTTTCCCCCTCATAATTTAACTTAGACAAGTGTTTTATAGAAATGCTGTTCCATGGAATAACCTTCAGGTCATTGGAAGCCAGACGGGAGAAAAAGTGACCGTGTGAGGTGAGAGCACTGTGTGGCAGGTGCTCACCATGGGGAGAGCTCAATAATTACGGAGCGGACCTTGGTATTTCTAGGAGAGCATGAGAGTGAGCAAAGGCTTAAATGTCTAGCTGAGAGGAAACTGGTGTGACTGTGGTACTTACCATAATGGAATCAGACTGGGAAAACCATGAAATCTACTTCTTGTGCCTCTACTCATAAGCATCACTAAGTTCCTGCTGTATGCCAGCTATACTCTACACATGAAGTATTTGGCATCTCCAGTCAGAGAGCTCACTTAGAGGGTTTTCTGATTCATTTCTTGAACTTTGATTGAGCACTAATTATATGTGACTTTGGATATGCTAACCTGCAAAGCCAAGTAGTTCCTATCCTTACATTCTCACAGATATTGTAATGTCTAATTCATAAAACATTTGTATGACTCAACAGAGACATGCCAGGTCTGTTAGGAGAGATGTCCACCAAGCACTTCAGAGCTGGGAAAGCACTCACTGTTTCCTGGGGAGGTTACTATGAGATCTGCCTTAACAGGTGAGTAAGAGCTTGCTGAATAAGAGAAAAATGGCTGCCAGAGACATGTAGGAAGGAGAGTAGCAAGAATAAAGGAACCAGGAAAGGAAGAGAATGTCTGTTGAGCACTTATACAGAGGCTGGTTAGAAGCAGGACTGGCAGGACAAGCGCATGGCAGGGAACATTCAGGGAATGCAGCCGGAATGTCAAGTTGAGGCCACATGCTCTTAATTGCCCACATGAGAGATTTACTCCCCTCAATCAGAGCCTGCCCTTGGCATATTTTACTTAAAGGAGGTCTGCGGACATACTTGTGATTTCAATGGTTCATCCTGGTAGCCAGGTACAGAATGGATTGAGAGAAGGGTTACAAGACTGTTAAAATCCAGGGGAAAGATGGGTGAGAAAATTGCTGGGCAGTCTTTCTGGCTGTAAAACAGGCACAGGACTCTCAGTGGAGCTGGTCAGGCATGGAACATGCTGATCCTTACTTCTGTGCACAGTCTGGTTAATAATGAACCTGATTTTACAGTTTACAAAGGATTGAAGAGAACCAGCTAGAACTACTAACATTATGTTTTAAAAGTAAGTCATAGAGAAAGAGGAGGCAAGGCTATAAAAAGTCTCATCATGTTTGAAAGTCAACCATGAAGTTTAGAGGTAAAGAGAGCACATCATCTCCCTTAAAATTCTTCATGTTAAAATGGGCATAATAAATACACTGACCTCATTGTTATAAATAACTAAGAGAATAGAAGTATTAGTGTTTCTAAACCCAATGTCTGATAATAGCTAACTACTCAGTGGGTGACATCTATTCCTGCTATTATTAAAGTGCTTTTGGGCCATTTAGTGTGGACCAAGTAGACATTAATTTGTTGTTAAATTAAAATGTAATTTATTGTTACACTGGAAAATGCTTCCATAGGTTGTGCATTTGAAAGACAAGGGAATTAACTTCATTATGAATTTCCAAGAGAAGAAATGATATAAGTAAAATTGTGCTCTGGGATGGTAAATATAAGGTTAATTATGAGGTTGAACTGGTGAAAGGCACAGCAGCTTTGTGCAAATGCAAATGAGTTCACATACTTGTTGAGGCAAGATAATGAGTTTCCTTATCAAAGCTTTACAAAATAAAAATTAAAGGGCACTAGTCAGGTGCTGGTGGCCCAAGCCTGTTATCTTAGCTAATCAGGATCTGGAGGATTGTATTTTGAGGTTGGACCCAGCAAACCACACACACACACACACACACACACACACACACACACACACA